ATGGACTTTTCATTACCATGACCAAGACAAAAGACTTAAAATTGAATCCTGTCTCTGCAATTTGCTATTTGGTTTTAGAAAAATCACTTAAAGCCAGGCACCAGTGGCTCCCGCCTGTAATCCTAGCACTTTGAGGGGGCCGAGGTGCAAGGATTACTTGAGGCCAGTAGTTTGAGATAGCCTGAGCAAAAGCCAGACCTCATTTCTACAAAAACAACAAAAAAAAGAAATAGAAAAATTAGCTGGCCGTTGTGGTGCATGCCTGTAGTCCCAGCTACTCAGGAGGCTTAGGCAGGAGGATGGTTTGAGCCCAGGAGTTTGAGATTGCAGTAAACTATGATGATGCCATTGTACTCTAGCCTGGGCAACAGAGCAAGACTTTCTCAAAAATAAAAATTAAGGCCGGGCGTGGTGGCTCACGCCTGTAATCCTAGCACTTTGGGAGGCCGAGGCGGGAGGATTGCTCAAGGTCAGGAGTTCGAAACCAGCCTGAGCGAGACCCCATCTCTACCAAAAAATAGAAATAAATTAATTGACCAACTAAAAATATATATACAAAAAATTAGCCAGGCATGGTGGCGCATGCCTGTAGTCCCAGCTACTCGGGAGGCTGAGGCAGTAGGATTGCTGAGCCCCGGAGATTGAGGTTGCTGTGAGCCAGGCTGACGCCACGGCACTCACTCTAGCCTGGGCAACAAAGTGAGATTCTGTCTCAAAAAAAAAAAAAAAAAAAAATTAAAAAATTCAGCAGGCACCTGCAATATGGCAGGCCTGTGTGCTGGGGGAGGGCAGAGTAATAAAATTTATTGAGTATTTACTATGTATGCCAGATACTGTTCTGATTGCTTTATATATATTAACTCACCTAACTATATATATTAACTCTCCTATATGTTAACTCTCCCAACCACTCTTTGATAGAGGTACTATTATTCCCTATCAGTAGATGAGAAAACAGAAGACATACTAAAGCCAAGCAAGTTGCAAAATCAGGATTCAAATCTGAGCAGTTCAACTTCATAGTGCTTTTGTTTGAGACAGAGTCTCACTTTGTTGCCCAGGCTACATTGAGTGCCCTGGCATCAGCCTAGCTCACAGCCACCTCAAACTCCTGGGCTCAAGCGATCCTGCTGCCTCAGCCTCCTGAGTAGTTGGGACTACAGGCATGTGCCACCATGCCCGGCTAATTTTTTCAATATATATTAGTTGGCCAATTAATTTCTTTCTATGTATAGTAGAGACGGGGTCTCGCTCTTGCTCAGGCTGGTCTCGAACTCCTGACCTTGAGCGATCAGAGTGATGATCAGAGCTTTTGCCAAGGCCTCCAGAGTGCTAGGATTACAGGCAAAAGCCACTGAGCCCAGCTGATATGATTTATTTTTAACATGTTTTATTTTTTATTTTAGAGACGGGAGTCTTGCTCTTGCCCAGGCTGGTCTTGAACTCCTGAGTTCAAGCAATCCTACTACTGTGGCCTCCAAGAGTGTTAGGATTACGGGCGTGAACCAAGCAAACATTTATTAATGTCTACTTTGTTCAAGGGAGTATGCTGGAACTGGCATTTAAAGCTGGATGAAACACAAATCATGCCTTGATGCTCCCAGGCTAGTGGCAAAAGCAGGTGTATATATAATTACAATGCAGTGACAGAAACATCAATATATACATATATTGGGGGGGGGTGTATACACACATACACACACAGAATGCCATGAGAGTGATTATGCTGATAAAAGTAAAATTTGAACTATCTTGAACAGAGAATAAAGATTCTATGGAATATAACTTGAAAGCATTGTGGTTTAGGCCAGAGGAAAATAAACTTTGTCCTTGGGTAGATCTAGGTGTCATCTAGGTTTCTCTGGATGACCTCGATCCAGCCACTCCTATTCCTGCCCCAAGAATAATTTCCCACCTAATGAGTTATGTGGCTTTTCCACTCAGAACTGAGCCTTTCAGACAAATGTGTAATTAACTAGCATTTCAAAGGTGGTGATTATAGTTGCTAATACCCTTTTACCCTGAGGTGTAAAAACAAGCACCTCTGGGGCTGCTACCCTCTCATCATTGATTATTCTCCTCTTCTTTATCTCCCCCTCCTATCTTTTAACTTACTGAAATACAGAATTCAGGCACATTTTAAAGTACACTTGCAATTATTTTGAAGTTATTATAATAATTACTTTTAAAGTGTTATGTTTTCTGTTTCTACTTTTAAAAATAGATTAATTGAACCTATTGTGATAGTATGAATAAATTAAATAGCGTGCTATATGTAATTGGTCTCCCATTGTGCCCACAGCCACCCCACCTTTCAGGTGTTAAATGACTTCAGTAGAAAATAATTTTCTACCAAGATATTAATACTATAGTAATGCTGTGATAACAACTGTTATATTTGAATTTCTTTTTTCTACCTAGGAAATCTTTCTGATTTTACACAGCTCTCTCCATATCCAAAGTCTTATACAACTGACCATAATATTTCATTTCATTAAGACTTAATTTTTTTTTTAATTTTAAATATTTCTTTATTCTTAGTTTTCTTTTTTCTTCTTCTTTTTTTGTAGACATACAACATATTTCTGCAGAAAAGACTTAATTTTCAATGAAAATATATGCAAGTACTCATTAGTGATGGTACTGAGAATAATATAAGATAGAGTTTTCATTCCCATAATTTTTATTCTTTGCTTTGGACAAGTCACCCCTCTTTAGTCTTAACTTTAGTCTTAAATACATTCCCTTTCCAGCCAGATTCTTGCCCCCCAAGGCCTTCCCATAGAGAAATTTTACAGCTATCACAGTATAGTTCTTATTTGTTTTTTTTTCAACTTTTTAACTTATCTGTATTTGTTATAAGTTTTAAGTGGATTGTGACTCAGGCACTACATTTCTATTCACAAGCCTCACTTTTCAAAACAGTTTTATAATACATATTTGTAGGGCTTATAATTTTGCTCCTCTAAACAATACTTTTTCTTTGGAAAACAAGGCCTGTGTAGAGTTTCAAGTTGCTTCACTTTATTTATTTATTTATTTGAGACAGAGTTTCCCTCTGTTGCCCTGGCTAGAGTACCGTGGCATCAGCCTAGCTCACAGCAACCTCAAACTCCTGAGCTCAAGTGATCCTTCTGTCTCAGACTCCTGAGTAGCTGGGACTACAGGCATGTGCCACCATGCCCAGCTAATTTTTTCTATATAAATTTTTTAGTTGTCCAATTAATTTCTTTCTATTTTTAGTAGAGATGGGGTCTCGCTCTTGCTCAGGCTGGTTTCAAACTCCTGATCTTGAGCAATCCACCCGCCTCGGCCTCCCAGAGTGCTACGATTATAGCCGTGAGCCACCACGCCTGGCTCCACAGAACAGTTGCACAATACAAATATACAAGAGCATGATCTTATGAAACTGATAAATTGGAGGGATGGTTAAAAAGAATTCTTCTGTTTATAAAGGATTTACTTTACAGTCTTTTAAAAGAGCATGTTTTCTTTAGTTGATTGCAAATTATTTGAACTTTCCAGAAATGCATCTTCTGGATAAATAAAATTATCTTTTTTTCCCCCTTGTCTGACATAGATGAGAATATCCTAATGCTGCACGTCACAGCTAGTCATTTGCTTGCATCCATTTTATCAGCAACACCTCAGACCGAGCTTTGTGTGGAAGAAGTGACCCTGGTCAGGAGATCAGGAGCTACCCTCATTGCAACCACATCACTCTACTTCAGATATTTTCCATTTCTAAGAGGGGAAATAAATATGTCACTCACTGTAAGTAAAAGGGAAAATAAGGAGGTCAAGATAACTAGGTCACTTATTCTAAATAGAAGAGAAAATGATCAGGAGGACAGTTTTGAAGATGCCTATGAAATCATCCCTGCAGCAACAACAATGAATTTAGCAGCTTCCTTGGAAGAATGCACAACTGGATTATATTTATTTCTCAATAACAGATTCTCAGATGCAGTAAACCTCATTCATCCATGGTCTAAAAACAGTGCATACCATGCCCTAATATATAGTATTATTATGGTTGTCAAGGCCATCCTGACTTTTGAGCCACAGGATATAGAGATTGGAATGGCCACCACAAAGGAAGCTTTGAAAACTTGTAACATGTTCCGAAAACCTAGGATAGTGACTTTGTCTCGTCTAGTGGGTAAACAAGGAATAAAGGCTATCACAGAAGAGGAATTGCATGCAGAAATCTGTTATGCTGAGTGTTTGGTTTTGAAATCCTCCATGACATTTATACAGGATGACAGTATACTTGGTTTTCTTAAAAGTGGGTTCAACATTGGGTCAAGTTACCATATATACCAAGATTGTCAACGAGTATTAGCACAGATGCCTAACAACCAAAGTAAAGCCCACAAACACCTGGTTGGAGGAATAAAATTTGGACTTGGAACATTCAATTTGATGTTATCACTTGTGCCACCAAGGACACTTAAACTACTCAATATCATTGGATTTTCTGGTGATAGAGAGGTAGGTTTGGCTTTGCTTCATGAGAGTGCCTCTGAAACCCATATAAATAATATCTTAAGTGTTTTGACTCTACTCTTTTATTACAATTATATCTATGTTGCTTTTGGTGTTGAAAATGTTTACAAGTCTGCTACAGAGGACCTCTTCCTAATTTATCTACGGAAATTTCCAAACTGTGTCATACTTAAATTTTTTCATGCACGTTCTAGTATGTTGAATGGAAAATTTGAAAATGCACAGTTAAAATTAGAAGAGTGCATTTTTATTCAGAATGAATGGAAGCAGGTTCATCACCTCTGTTACTGGGAACTCATGTGGTGCCACATTTTTATGCAGGAGTGGAGGCAGGCTTACAACTACGCTGATTTACTGTCTCAACACAGCAGGTGGTCCAAGGCGATATATATGTACAGTAAAGCTATAATACTGGCCTTGCTTCCTTCTGATTTTGGGAAAGCAGTAAATGAGGATATGAACTCTCTCTTCATAAAAGTAGATAGCCTGAGAAACAAATTTTTAGGCACTTCTGTGCCAATAGAAAAGTTTGTTGCTGAGAAAGGTCAGCGCTATGGTACTACTACAGGCTGGTTTACAGCACAGCCCCTTCTGGAATTCATGTATGCCTGGAGTGGTTTCCGAGTCATGAGCAAAAAAATAGACCTTATTTCACGCTGGCTATCAATAATTAACAAAGGAGAAGATCTTTTACAAGAGAATCCAAATAAAGAGTATGGCACAGATGACATAAGTTTGTTAAATTTACTGAAAGGTATATGCCTAAAACACTTAGGCAGATATTTAAGGGCTGAACATTACTTTAATCGTGTCCTTCAACAGGAGAAATTGTTAAAATATGACCACTATTTGGTGCCATACACTTACTATGAACTGGGAATTCTATACTATCTAAAAGGAGATTATGATAGTGCAATAAAAAGCCTCGACAACATAAAAAACTACAAAGACTATTCCATGGAAGCCCGATTACAGTTTAGGGCTCACATAGCCCTTGAACAAATAGCCAAAGAAAAGTGATCTGAACACAGAGTGTGGTTTTGTTTAGTATGATTGAAATATCCACAATCAGCAAGATAATTAAAAGGTTGAAAAATCATTTCTTTGTGGAAATAATTCAAGAGGCAGCTGCCAAGAATCTGATCAATAACAAGTAAGAAAGGAATTGGCCATTGCTTTCCCCTCTTTCTTTCTCATACCTATACAATGGAATGTCTTAGACTGGCAACTGGAGCGATACATGTTCTTGAAAAAGAAAAGGCAAATGATGTACATTATAAAGAATATTTTCTCTCATATGTTGTACATTTGATCATGTTAGATAAGGTTTTCAAAACCTAAAAAATATTTTTTAACATGTCACTAAAGTTTGCAACTCCTAAATAAAATAGGGGAAGTAGTTACAGTGGGATCCCAGTGCTCTGTAAATGTTTTTATTTAATTGTTAGAAAAAATGACTTCAAAATCTTACTGACATATCAAAATAATGATGCATTGAATAGCATGGATTTGAATAGTTTTCATTTTTGTTGGCTTTTTATACCAGGGAAAAAGCCCCCTGTGTGATGAGCAGTTTTTTTTTTACCCTCTTTCTGTAGGAAGCTCAAATACCTGCTTATGATTTGCCACAGGATAAAGAAGAAAGGCTCTTTACCCCCTTTTATACACTAACTCTTTGAAGATAATTGGAGGAGGCTAAGAAGATAGACCACTGGCTTTAAGAAGACAGTTCAGTTACCTAGTAACCCTCCTTTTAGTTATCATCCCTAAAGTATAATTCCTGTTAAGACCAGCTCTTCAACATAATTAAACCCTTTGTATCCATTCATTGTTAGAGGGCTAATCTGAGAGTAAACAGCAGCTGTCAGGGGATGGGGTTTGGGATTGTTTTACCTACCTAGGGGTAAAGTCAGTCCCTAATTTCCAGACCCTTAAGTCTGGTTGAGTGTGTCTTCCTTGTAGTTACCCTTTGATTCAGAAGTTGCTGGGAAAATTTGGCTTGCTAAAGCACATCATCTTAAATTGGAACAAGATGAGAAGTTAGTATTTCAGATTAGGCAATGCTTACTTTTAAAAACATTTTCCTCATAAATTAAAAACACACTTTCAAGTGAACAGTTGTGCTTGAGTTATTCCCCATTATTTAATTAGTATGGTTACAGTGGTTAAGAGGGCAGGTTCTGGTATGATTGCCTAGATTTGAATTCTAGCTGTGCCACTAACTAGCAATGTGGTCCTGGGCCTCTGTGCCTCAGTTTACTTAGCTGTAAAATAGTGATAATAATATTATCTTGTGGCTTTACTGTGCTAAGATTGAGCTAATAATCATTTATTATTATCTTTATTATTACTACTACTAATGTTACCAAAAGTTCGGCACTTGTACCCAGGCCACATCAGAAAAACTAGGACAAGTGGCTTGAGAAGGAAAGAAAAGTTTATTAATTTGCAAATGAATCAGCAATTAGGAGGTTGGCAGAGGGCCATCTTAAAGTATACTAACCTCCTGCCTCTTAACAGAAATACAGAGCTTTTAAAGGTGAGGTTTTCAGCCTTAGGCTAATGCTGTCCAATTATACTTGATGGTTTCTGATTCATCCCACCTTGGCTAAAACAATCTTGTGACCTCTGCACTTGAGCCTTGACAGTGCCCTTGAGCCTTCTCCTGTGGTACAAAGAACAAAGTACACTCCCCAGGCTCTTCCAACCACTGGCCTGAGGCAATATTGTAGGTGTTAGTTCTCAAAAAGGGTGAGGAGGTTTGCAGAGACAAAAAACATTTTTACCCTTTTTTAGGCCATTCTCTCTGTTACACTAATAATAATACATTATTCTTCAGTGGCGAGAAGTTTCTTGGAAAAAGCAAAGGTCCCTTTGTTACTTGCTTTACCAATCTAGAATTTGACCTATTAATTTGCTTTTATTGTTCTGTTTATTTATTTATTTGGCACCTTCATCTTGGATATTTTGGTCACTTATGAAGTAAGTATCTCTCTGCCTAAATTATGCCTTTGTGGTTTGTAAAATATCCCAATGAATAGCAAATTTGTTAATTGGTTAAACAAATATGTATTGAATGCCTACTATATGCGGGAACTGAACATAGTACTGAGGATATAAAGATAAATAAAGTAAGATTTCTCTCCTGAGGGCCTTTTTAGGGAGATAAATTAGAAAAGATTTTTCTTGGAGTGGAAACTCTTAAAACACTTGCTTAAATAGATAGGAGTTTATTTGTCCCAAACAAAAGCAATCTGAAAGCAGATAGCTCAGATCTGGTATGGTACTTTTAATCTTTTATTTATTTATTATTTTTTAATTTTTTTTTGAGACAGAGTCTTGCTTTGTTGCCCAGGCTAGAGTGAGTGCCGTGGCATCAGCCTAGCTCACAGCCACCTCAAACTCCTGGGCTCAAGCAATCCTTTTGCCTCAGCCTCCCGAGTAGCTGGGACTACAGGCATGCGCCACCATGCCCGGCTAATTTTTTCTATATATATTAGTTGGCTAATTAATTTCTTTCTATTTATAGTAGAGACGGGGGTCTCACTCTTGCTCAGGCTGGTTTCGAACTCCTGACCTTGAGCAATCCGCCTGCCTCAGACTCCCAGAGTGCTAGGATTATAGGAGTGAGCCACTGTGCCTGGCCCTTCAGAGACTTTTTAGATGAACTAAACTCTCCCTTAGCAAATGAAATCTCACATCAATTAACAAGTATTTAAGTACCTACTATGAGCCTAAAAATTTTTTACTTTGATTTTTTTTTTCTCTTTTGAGACAGAGTCTTGGTCTGTTGCCTGGGCTAGAGTACTGTGGCATCAGCCTATCTCAGAGCAACCTCAAACTCCTGGGCTCAGGTGATCCTCCTGCCTCAGACTCCCAGAGTGTTAGGATTGCAGGCATGAGCCACGGCACCTGGCCCTCCAAAATTTTTACTTTGAGAAGGGGCAAAACTCTAGAAGGAGTCATGAGCCCTAAGTCATTCATTTCACAAATTTTTGTAGATAAATTTCTGTTTATATGGATGAAATGGAATCAAGAGGAAATTATAATTGATTAATTCCATCTGCCTTGGGGATCTCATTATCTTGATATCTGGTTCTTTTTTTTTTTTTTTTTTTTTTGAGACAGAGTCTCACTTTGTTGCCCGGCTAGAGTGAGTGCCGTGGCGTCAGCCTAGCTCACAGCAACCTCAACTCCTGGGCTCGAGTCATCCTTCTGCCTCAGCCTCCCGGGTAGCTGGGACTACAGGCATGCGCCACCCTGCCGGCTATTTTTATATATATATATCAGTTGGCCAATTAATTCTTTCTATTTATAGTAGAGACGGGGTCTCGTCAGGCTGGTTTTGAACTCCTGACCTTGAGCAATCCGCCCGCCTCGGCTCCCAAGAGCTAGGATTACAGGCGTGAGCCACAAGCGCCCGGCCTGATATCTGGTTCTTTATCATTTTTGAAGTTTTCTAATTTTAAGCCACTAAATTCTTGGTGATTCCTCCTTTGAAATCTGTGAATCTATTCCTCTTTTACCTTTCCATGCTTTCAGCCTAGGTTAAGACTTTATTACTTCTGTTTTCAACTTTTCTGTTTAGATTTGTGCTTTAGATCACAGAGTTATGTGTTTTCTTTTTCTTTCTTTCTTTTAATTGCTGTTTCCTTTTTCAGGAATGAACAGAAAATTTCCTTTTTCTTTCTTTCTTTGAACAAAGTCTCACTCTGTTGCTGGGCTAGAGTGCCATGGCGTCAGCCTAGCTCACAGCAACCTCAAACTCCTGGGATCCTTCTACCCTCAGCCTCCAGAGTAGCAGGGACTGCAAGGCATGCGCCACCATTTGGCCAATTAATTTGTTTCTATTTTTAGTAGAGATGGGTCTCGATCGTGCTCAGGCGTTTCCAACTCCTGACCTTGAGCGATCTGCCTGCCTCAGCTTCCAGAGTGCTAGGATTACAGCGTGAGCCACTTTGGGCTGGCCTGAACAGAACATTTCCATCCTAGAAAAACATCCTGTCTCAGTCTACTGTTAGGAAACCTATCCTCCCCTCTCGGAGGATTAAAGCCTCTTCTCTGGGCAGAGCGGGGAAGGCGGTTACAGTAATCAATTTGAAGATACACCTTGCTAAAAATGGATTTTTCTATTAGAGAGTCATTGTTTTGCAATTTATTTTTTCCTAATAACTATTATGAGTAAGGGTATATATTTACATAAATTTCATGGTGTATATGCTCTACATTTCCCTATTTTCCCTATATACAATTTCTTGCAGCCTTTTCCAATATACTAATTTAAATCTCATCATTCTAAAATCAAGATTTCTCCCATTCTCTTCAGTCTACTTATTCACTTGTAAAAGAGTTAAGCCAGCATGGTGTGCACACCTGAAGTCCCAGCTACTCAGGAGCATGAGGCATGAGGATCACTTGAGCTATGATCATGCCATTGCACTCCGGCCTGGATTGACAGAGTGGAGACTCCATCTTCAAGAAAATAAAATGAGTTAATATTTGCAAATTATTGGATAGTGCCTGGCACAATTCTAACAAACTTAGAAGTTGTTGAAGAAATAAAAATTCAGGCCAGCGTGGTGGCTCACGCCTGTAACCCTAGCACTCTGGGAGGCCGAGCGGGGGTTGTCGAGGTCAGGAGTTCGAAATCAGTCTGAGCAAGAGTAGACCCCGTCTCTACCATAAATAGAAGAAATTAATTGGCCAACTAAATATATATAGAAAAATTAGCCAGGCATGTGGTGCATGCCTGTAGTCCCAGCTACTCAGGAGGTGAGGCTGTAGAATTGCTTGAGCCCAGTGAGTTTGAGGTTGCTGTGAGCTAGGCTGATGCCGCAGCACTCACTCTAGCCTGGGCAACAAAGCGAGACTCTGTCTCAAAAAAAAAAAAAAAAAAAAATTTAAAAAAGAAATAAAAATTCAATTTCTGAAGGAAAAATAAAAATCTTAGGACCCCCAAAATTCACTATGCTAAAAGGGAGAACTGAGTCACTCAAGCACTGCCATCCTCTCCCCTAGTGATGTACAGGGGTCATCTTTTAAGAAATGAGGGGGCTGGGCACAGTGGCTCACACCTGTAACCCTAGCACTCTGGCAGGCAGAGGTGGGAGGAGTGCTTGAGGTCAGGAGTTCAAGACCAGTCTGAGCAAGAGCAAGACCCTGTCTGTACTAAAAATTTAAAATTCCACAGGCATGGTGGCACACACCTGCAGTCCCAGTTACTCAGGATGCTGAGGCAGGATGGCTTGAGCACAGGAGCTTGAGGTTGCAGTGAGCTGTGATAATGCCACTGTACTATAGCCAGAGTGACAGAATAAGACTCTGTCCCCCCAAAAAAAAGAAGAAAAAAAAAGGGGCGCTTAGAAAATGACTAAACAGTATTTTTCTTTCTGATGGAGTGGGTGTGGGAGGGAGAAAGGAAGCCTGGCTGGCAAGGTAGTCTTGTTATGCAGGTAAGTCTCATGATAACAGTCCTGGGGAAATGTTTTTATTCAGAAATTTATGAGTGCCAGACTCTCTGCAAACCTGTCTCAGATCAAAAAAGCAAGGCCTGGCTACAAACAAAGATTCTCTACAGATGCAAATCTCTCCCAGCCTCCCCACCTACACAGCCTTACAGCATTATTACTGTTTGCTTAGAGCCATCTCAAAATATGACAAAGATGTACTTTGGGTTAAAATATTTATTTTCTTCAGCCCTAACAAACCCTTTCAAGATATACAACCCCTTTAAAATGAATGCATGTCAATTATAACCTTGGGACTGTAGCCTGATTAAACTTTTAAATGTCGAGGGTTATGTGAAACTCAAATTTCAAGTAGTAAGGAAAAAGCTGATTGATTTTTGATGTTTTTTACACCTTGGCTTCATAGTTTAATGTTTTTTTTTGAGGCAGAGTCTCACTTTGTTGCCCACTCTATAGTGAGTGCCGTGGCATCAGCCTAGCTCAAAGCAACCTCAATCTCCTGGGCTCAAGCGATTCTACTGCCTCAGCCTCCCGAGTAGCTGGGACTACAGGCATGTGCCACCATGCCTGGCTAATTTTTTGTATATATATATTTTAGTTGGTCAATTAATTTCTATTTTTAGTGGAGATGAGGTCTCGCTCAGGCTGGTTTCGAACTCCTGACCTAGAGCAATATGCCTGCCTCGGCCTCCCAGAGTGCTAGGATTACAGCCGTGAGCCACCACGCCGGGCCGGCTTGATAGTTTTAAAATCCAGTTTTGTAAATCTTTTTTTTTTTTTTTTTTGCCCGTCAATCTTGGTTTTCACATTTGCTGGAACTTAATGTTTACCATCTTGTACCATTTTTCAGGATCACAGTCCTGAAAAAGATTCTGGGCCAAGCCAGAAGACAAATAAGTACGTGATCAGAAATCTGTAGCGCAAGCAAGTCTTTTGCACTTTCCCACTACAGAGGGTTTATCGTGAGTGATCTGGTACATTTCTTTCCAGCTTACACACCTCTCACAAGATTGGACCGAGGGCACATCCCAAAGGAGCAGGCACTTTAACTACTCTATACAAGCTAAACAAACAAGAAGTACCTTGGCCCTATCACTCGTCTTCACTGCACGTTCACCTCACACTGGCAGAGCTTTATGATTTAACTAGAGGCTTCATGTGCTTTGGTTCTGTGACAAAAGTGCATTTCCAGATCTACTATCATTGAAGACCTGAGAAGGGCCTTTTCCTCTTAAAAAAATTGTTTGAAATGTGCGTCGTGGCAATGGACAAAGGGCAGCTCTAGCGAACGTGGCACATTATTATTACATAAAAAATCTCAGCCCCTACTAGCACCCTGCACTCCAGACCCCCACTTGCAGACACATCCAGGAAGGACTACAAAACAGAGACTTCTGGGGGCGGAAGTGACGACAGGCGCAAAGCATGCTGGTCTCGGGCGCGCTCTGCTCAAGGCATCTTCTTCACAGCGTGGTGGTCAGGTACCCGGTGGTGCAAGGAGTTTAAACTGGTATTTTTCTCGTTTGTCAGGATTAAGTACAACTTTAAATATCGTGTATGTTTAAATATGTAAAGGACGGAACCGGGAATCTGAGCTCTAGGACCTTAGCTACTGCCCCCTTGTTTGCGCATCTTCTAAACACATTTTGAGAGGAAATCTCATAAATCGGGGGCCTTCGGTGGCGGGATGCAGCGGAGACACAGCAAAAGAGCGAGTGGGTGTATATCAGAAGAGTTCTCTGCTTCAGTTTTGGCTAAAAGTGGTGTCGGATGAACTCCTTTGATCGAAGGAAAGCAGAGATGAAGGGTTTGAGCATTTGCAGACCAGAGTGAGAGCGATCAGAACTGGGAATGAGGGGTGGAATAGAAGTGTGCCAGGTGGGATTCCCCAGACTGGACCGGGGCGACTCGGTGTCCCTTTAGCTTCAGACTGAATTGTAAACACTGTTTTCCTTTTCCTGATACCTTAAAATTCTCAAGCAGTCTTTACGCATGTGCTCTTTTCCCCATAGTATCAGTTCCGTGTACATACATTAGTACTAATTGTTTTAAGTAACTTTTTAAGAACTTGAGGCAAATCACAGATTTCTCTGCTTTAGGATGGAGATCCGGGGTAAGACATATGCTTAGGTGGAACATAAATATTAACCCGAACTGGTGGTTGTTGTAGATCTAGTTACCTGGCAGCTATGGGAGAATGGATGAAGAAAGGCCCCTTAGAATGGCAAGATTACATTTACAAAGAAGTCAGAGTGACAGCCAGTGAGAAGAACGAGTATAAAGGATGGGTTTTAACTACAGACCCAGTCTCTGCCAAGTGAGTATACATCCTACTTCCCTGAAATCATGACACCTCTTTGTGCTGCCTGTATGTTATAGCCAAACTAAAAAAGCAGATAAATGAAAGGCTAATTATTATTATTATTATTTTTTGAGACTGAGTCTCACTCTGTTGCCCAGACTAGAGTGAGTGCCGTGGCGTCAGCCTAGCTCACAGCAACCTCAAACTCCTGGGCTCAAGCGATCCGGACTCCCGAGTAGCTGGGACTACAGGCGAGCGCCACCATGCCCAGCTGATTTTTTCTATATATATTAGTTGGCCAATTAATTTCTTTCTATTTATAGTACAGACGGGGTCTTGCTCTTGCTCAGGCTGGTTTCGAACTCCTGACCTCGAACAATCCGCCTGCCTCGGCCTCCCAGAGTGCTATAATTATTCTTATATAAGAATTTAGGCTCTCTTCCCCTCCCCCCCCACCCTCCTCACACTGGGGGGGAGGGAGAATTTAATTGCCTTTGACTCTAAGTGCTAGTGCCACTATTGTTTACCGTGTCTGACCAGCCAAGTTCATAGAAATGGGACATAGAAATTTTTTTATTATATTTTTAGTGGAAACTTTCAAGCATAGACAAATGTTAATGGAGTAGTATAAATGACACTAATCTTATACCCCTTCCAATATTTTAAAGCCAGTTCTAGAAATTATATCATTTTGTATATAAATACTTCAACATATCTCTTAAAAGATAAGGACTTTTTAAATAAATGTAACTACAATACCCTTATAACACCTAACAAAAGTAATAATAATAATAACCTCAATATTAGCCAATTCATAGTCATTTCAGATTTTCCTGATTGTCTCAAAAGTTCTTTTTATATTGGTTTATTCAAATTTGTTGATATGTCTCTTAAATATCAGTTTAAATATCTTAATCTATGACTCTTCTATGACTCTGTACTTTCCCCTTTTTTAGTTTCCCATGTCGTTTATTTTTGAAGAAACTTAGTCATTTGTTTTATAGAATTGAACATCTGGATTTAGCTTATTGTATTATCATAGTGTAGTTTAATGTGTTCTTTTATCTCCCATATTTCTTATAAATAAGTATTCAGATCTACAGGTTTGATTAGGATCAGATTTATTTTTTGCAATACTGCTTTACAGGTGAAGATGCACATACACACACTTTTTATTTTGGAACACACTTTTGATTTTAGATTTAAAGAAAAGTTACAATGAATGTCCAGAAAGTACCCAAATACCCTTCACTCAGCTTCCCCTAATGTTAACATCTTACATAATTGTGGTACATTTCTCAAAACTAAGAATTTATATTAACTAAACTACAGACATTATTTGGATTTTACCAGTTTATCTGATAATGGCCTTTTTCTGTTCCAGGATCCAATCCAGGATCCGACGTTACATTTAGTTGTCATGTCTTCTTAGTCTCCTCTGATCTGTGAGTTTTTCAGTCTTTCCTTGTTTTTCATGACCTTGACAGTTTTGAAGAGTACTGGTGAGGTAGTTTGTAGAATGTCTGACAATTTGGGTTTGTATGACGTTTTCTTTTTTTCTCTCTTTTTTCTTTTTTTGAGACAGAGTCTCTTTGTTGCCCTGAGTAGAGTGTCATGGCATCAGCTTAGCTCACAGCAACCTCAAACTTCTGGGCTCAAGCAATCTTCCTGCCTCAGCCTCCCAAGTAGCTGGGACTACAGGCTAATTTTTCTATTTTTAGTAGAAATGGGGTCTCACTCTTGCTCAGGGTGGTCTCGAATTCCTGAGCTCAAGGGATCCTCCTGCCTCAGCCTCTCAGAGTGGTAGGATTACAGGTGTGAGCCACTGTGCCCGGCCTGTGATGTTTTCTCAAAAACAAACTTGGGTTATAGGTTTTTGGGAAGAATGCTACAGAAGTGAAATTCCCTTTTCATCACATCATATCATATAATATAGATTTTTTTCAGTATTTTTGATTTGTGTTCATGAGTGAGATTAGCTTATAGTTTTCTTTTTTCATCTTGTCATCTGCCTTTGGCATCAAGGTTATAATAGCCTCTTTAAATAAATTAATACATAGTCCCCCTTTTATAGTTTCTAGTAGAATTTGGTTAGATTAGAAATATTTGATCCTTGAAAATTTTTCTAGAACTTCCCAGTAAAATTGTCTTGGCCTTTTTTTCACTTTCCATGGGAAGATTTTGAACTAGTTATTTAGTCTTTATTACAGATTATAGGACTATTTACATTCTTTCTCTTTTGTTTTTGAGTCAGTAATTTATATTTTCTAGGAAGTTTTCTGTTTTAAGTTTCAAGATTTTTGGCATAAATAATATTATTCTTACTATTTCTTAATCTTTACTGTCTTATTCCTTATATTTATATGTGCCTTCCTTCTTTCTCTTTATTAATCTTGCCTGAGTTTTGTGAATTTTATTTGTTTTTCAAAGAACAACTGTTGGATTTGATGATCCTCATATTGACTCTTGTTTTCTATTTCATTAATTTTGTGCTTTGTTATTTTCTCTGGTCTGCTTTGGAGGGGAGTTATGTAGTTGTTTCTTAACTCTAAAAGTTAAATCTGTACCCTGCCTTCTTTTCTAATACACATTTAAAGCATTTATTACTCTTTAATACTTTAACTGTATCCCACAATGATTAGCTTTAGGCTGGATCTAAAGTTTAGATGTTTAAGACCAGGGGTCCTAAAACTTTTTAAACAGGGGGCCAGTTTACTATCCCTCAGACCTTAGAGGGCTGGACTATAGTTTAAAAAAAAACTATGAGAAAATTCCTATGGACACTGCACATATCTTATTTTGAAGTAAAAAAACAATTGGGCAAAAACACCTGCAAATGGCCCGTGGGTTTGAGGATGCCTGTTTAAGACCATCGGTGAATGCTTGTTGAACAAGTAAAAGCATCTGGTGGTGAGAAGATTAATTTCAAACAGGGAAGAGTGTTCCCTATTATTCTAGTGTCCTATTTGGGTTGATAATGCCTTTCTTTCAATTGCTTCTTCCATGGTTTTATGGGGTCTTGGGTTTCTCTTTTGCAAATCTGCTCTGAACTTACTTTTCCTCCAAAGTATCGTCCTTGTGAACTTCCTTGAAGATGGCAGCATGTCTGTCACCGGAATTATGGGACATGCTGTGCAGACTGTTGAAACTGTGAGTGAAGGGGACCATAGAGTGAGAGAGAAGCTGATGCATTTATTCATGTCTGGAGACTGCAAATCATACAGCCCTGAGGATCTGGAAAAGAGAAAGAACAGCCTAAAGAAATGGCTTGAGAAGAACCACATTCCCATCACTGAACAGGGAGATTCGAAGAGGACTCTCTGTGTGGCAGGGGTCCTGACTATAGACCCACCATATGGTCCAGAAAATTGCAGCAGCCCTAATGAGATTATTCTGTCCCGTGTTCAAGATCTCATTCAAGGACATCTTGCAGCTTCTCAATGAGAGGCCAAGAATTGTGGACACACTGATTGAAACAGACTTTTTTCCCCTTCATAAAATGTGTTGAATGTAAGTCCATCATATTATAGGACTTTTTGGTAAAATGAAAGATGTGGATTATGAGTGCTAGTTTCCTGGGCAAATGAATGAACTGGGGCAAGGATATCATCCCATACAACAAAATTACCATAGGGATGTAAGAATTGTAAGGGTCTTTTCTTGTGTTGAGGATATGCCTCAACAAGATTGTTTGGCAAGATTTTTTTTTCTTTTTTCTTTTTTTTTTTTCTTTTGAGACAGAGTCTTGGTCTGTTGCCTGGGCTAGAGTACTGTGGCATCAGCCTATCTCAGAGCAACCTCAAACTCCTGGGCTCAGGTGATCCTCCTGCCTCAGACTCCCAGAGTGTTAGGATTGCAGGCATGAGCCACGGCACCTGGCCCTCCAAAATTTTTACTTTGAGAAGGGGCAAAAACTCTAGAAGGAGTCATGAGCCCTAAGTCATTCATTTCACAAATTTTTTGTAGACAAATTTCTGTTTATATGGATGAAATGGAATCAAGAGGAAAATTATAATTGATTAATTCCATCTGCCTTGGAATTAATCTCATTAATTCCAAGGCAGCTCTCATTATCTTAATATCTGGTTCTTTATCATTTTTTGAAGTTTTCTAATTTTAAGCCACTAAATTCTGGTGATTCCTCCTTTGAAATATCTGTTGAATCTATTCCTCTTTTTACCTTTCCATGCTTTCAGCCTAGGTTAAGACTTTATTACTTCCTGTTTGTCAACTTTTCTGCTTTAGATTTTAGTGCTTTAGAGTTCACAGAGTTATGTGTTTTTCTTTTTGTTCTTTCTTTCTTTTATTTGCTGTTTCCCTTTTTCAGGAATGAACAGAAAATTTCCTTTTTCTTTCTTTTCTTTGAGACAAAGTCTCACTCTGTTGCCTGGGCTAGAGTGCCATGGTGTCAGCCTAGCTCACAGCAACCTCAAACTCCTGGGATCCTTCTACCTCAGCCTCCAGAGTAGCAGGGACTGCAGGCATGCGCCACCATTTGGCCAATTAATTTGTTTCTATTTTTAGTAGAGATGGGTCTCGATCGTGCTCAGGCTGGTTTCCAACTCCTGACCTTGAGCGATCTGCCTGCCTCAGCTTCCCAGAGTGCTAGGATTACAGGCGTGAGCCACTTTGGGCCTGGCCCTGAACAGAACATTTTCCATCCTAGGAAAACAATCCTGTCTTCAGTCTACTGTTAGGGAAACCTATCCTCCCTCTCGGAGATTATAAAGCCTCTTCTCTGGGCAGAGCTGGGCAAGGCGGTTAACAGTAATCAATTTGAAGATACACCTTGCTAAAAATGGATTTTTCTATTAGAGAGGTCATTGTTTTGCAATTTATTTTTTCCTAATACTATTAATTTGAGTAGAGGGTATATATTTTACATAAAGTTTCATGGTGTATATGCTCTACATTTCCCTATTTTCCCTATATACAATTTCTCTGCAGCTTTTCCAATATACTAATTTAATCTCATCATTCTAAAACTCAAGATTTCTCCCATTCTCTTCAGTCTACTTATTCACTTGTAAAAGAGTTAAGCCAGCATGGTGGTGCACACCTGAAGTCCCAGCTACTCAGGAGCATGAGGCATGAGGATCACTTGAGCTATGATCATGCCATTGCACTCCGGCCTGGATGACAGAGTGAGACTCCATCTTCAAAAAATAAAATGAGTTAATATTTGCAAATTATTGGATAGTGCCTGGCACAATTCTAACAAACTTAGAAGTTTGTTGAAGAAATAAAAATTCAGGCCAGCCGTGGTGGCTCACGCCTGTAACCCTAGCACTCTGGGAGGCCGAGGCGGGAGGATTGCTCGAGGTCAGGAGTTCGAAATCAGTCTGAGCAAGAGTGAGACCCCGTCTCTACCATAAATAGAAAGAAATTAATTGGCCAACTAATATATATAGAAAAAATTAGCCAGGCATGGTGGTGCATGCCTGTAGTCCCAGCTACTCAGGAGGCTGAGGCTGTAGACTTGCTTGAGCCCAGGAGTTTGAGGTTGCTGTGAGCTAGGCTGATGCCGCAGCACTCACTCTAGCCTGGGCAACAAAGCGAGACTCTGTCTCAAAAAAAAAAAAAAAAAAAAATTTAAAAAAGAAATAAAAATTCAATTTCTGAAGGAAAAATAAAAATCTTAGGACCCCCAAAATTCACTATGCTAAAAGGGAGAACTGAGTCACTCAAGCACTGCCATCCTCTCCCCTAGTGATGTACAGGGGTCATCTTTTAAGAAATGAGGGGGCTGGGCACAGTGGCTCACACCTGTAACCCTAGCACTCTGGCAGGCAGAGGTGGGAGGAGTGCTTGAGGTCAGGAGTTCAAGACCAGTCTGAGCAAGAGCAAGACCCTGTCTGTACTAAAAATTTAAAATTCCACAGGCATGGTGGCACACACCTGCAGTCCCAGTTACTCAGGATGCTGAGGCAGGATGGCTTGAGCACAGGAGCTTGAGGTTGCAGTGAGCTGTGATAATGCCACTGTACTATAGCCAGAGTGACAGAATAAGACTCTGTCCCCCCAAAAAAAAGAAGAAAAAAAAAGGGGCGCTTAGAAAATGACTAAACAGTATTTTTCTTTCTGATGGAGTGGGTGTGGGAGGGAGAAAGGAAGCCTGGCTGGCAAGGTAGTCTTGTTATGCAGGTAAGTCTCATGATAACAGTCCTGGGGAAATGTTTTTATTCAGAAATTTATGAGTGCCAGACTCTCTGCAAACCTGTCTCAGATCAAAAAAGCAAGGCCTGGCTACAAACAAAGATTCTCTACAGATGCAAATCTCTCCCAGCCTCCCCACCTACACAGCCTTACAGCATTATTACTGTTTGCTTAGAGCCATCTCAAAATATGACAAAGATGTACTTTGGGTTAAAATATTTATTTTCTTCAGCCCTAACAAACCCTTTCAAGATATACAACCCCTTTAAAATGAATGCATGTCAATTATAACCTTGGGACTGTAGCCTGATTAAACTTTTAAATGTCGAGGGTTATGTGAAACTCAAATTTCAAGTAGTAAGGAAAAAGCTGATTGATTTTTGATGTTTTTTACACCTTGGCTTCATAGTTTAATGTTTTTTTTTGAGGCAGAGTCTCACTTTGTTGCCCACTCTATAGTGAGTGCCGTGGCATCAGCCTAGCTCAAAGCAACCTCAATCTCCTGGGCTCAAGCGATTCTACTGCCTCAGCCTCCCGAGTAGCTGGGACTACAGGCATGTGCCACCATGCCTGGCTAATTTTTTGTATATATATATTTTAGTTGGTCAATTAATTTCTATTTTTAGTGGAGATGAGGTCTCGCTCAGGCTGGTTTCGAACTCCTGACCTAGAGCAATATGCCTGCCTCGGCCTCCCAGAGTGCTAGGATTACAGCCGTGAGCCACCACGCCGGGCCGGCTTGATAGTTTTAAAATCCAGTTTTGTAAATCTTTTTTTTTTTTTTTTTTGCCCGTCAATCTTGGTTTTCACATTTGCTGGAACTTAATGTTTACCATCTTGTACCATTTTTCAGGATCACAGTCCTGAAAAAGATTCTGGGCCAAGCCAGAAGACAAATAAGTACGTGATCAGAAATCTGTAGCGCAAGCAAGTCTTTTGCACTTTCCCACTACAGAGGGTTTATCGTGAGTGATCTGGTACATTTCTTTCCAGCTTACACACCTCTCACAAGATTGGACCGAGGGCACATCCCAAAGGAGCAGGCACTTTAACTACTCTATACAAGCTAAACAAACAAGAAGTACCTTGGCCCTATCACTCGTCTTCACTGCACGTTCACCTCACACTGGCAGAGCTTTATGATTTAACTAGAGGCTTCATGTGCTTTGGTTCTGTGACAAAAGTGCATTTCCAGATCTACTATCATTGAAGACCTGAGAAGGGCCTTTTCCTCTTAAAAAAATTGTTTGAAATGTGCGTCGTGGCAATGGACAAAGGGCAGCTCTAGCGAACGTGGCACATTATTATTACATAAAAAATCTCAGCCCCTACTAGCACCCTGCACTCCAGACCCCCACTTGCAGACACATCCAGGAAGGACTACAAAACAGAGACTTCTGGGGGCGGAAGTGACGACAGGCGCAAAGCATGCTGGTCTCGGGCGCGCTCTGCTCAAGGCATCTTCTTCACAGCGTGGTGGTCAGGTACCCGGTGGTGCAAGGAGTTTAAACTGGTATTTTTCTCGTTTGTCAGGATTAAGTACAACTTTAAATATCGTGTATGTTTAAATATGTAAAGGACGGAACCGGGAATCTGAGCTCTAGGACCTTAGCTACTGCCCCCTTGTTTGCGCATCTTCTAAACACATTTTGAGAGGAAATCTCATAAATCGGGGGCCTTCGGTGGCGGGATGCAGCGGAGACACAGCAAAAGAGCGAGTGGGTGTATATCAGAAGAGTTCTCTGCTTCAGTTTTGGCTAAAAGTGGTGTCGGATGAACTCCTTTGATCGAAGGAAAGCAGAGATGAAGGGTTTGAGCATTTGCAGACCAGAGTGAGAGCGATCAGAACTGGGAATGAGGGGTGGAATAGAAGTGTGCCAGGTGGGATTCCCCAGACTGGACCGGGGCGACTCGGTGTCCCTTTAGCTTCAGACTGAATTGTAAACACTGTTTTCCTTTTCCTGATACCTTAAAATTCTCAAGCAGTCTTTACGCATGTGCTCTTTTCCCCATAGTATCAGTTCCGTGTACATACATTAGTACTAATTGTTTTAAGTAACTTTTTAAGAACTTGAGGCAAATCACAGATTTCTCTGCTTTAGGATGGAGATCCGGGGTAAGACATATGCTTAGGTGGAACATAAATATTAACCCGAACTGGTGGTTGTTGTAGATCTAGTTACCTGGCAGCTATGGGAGAATGGATGAAGAAAGGCCCCTTAGAATGGCAAGATTACATTTACAAAGAAGTCAGAGTGACAGCCAGTGAGAAGAACGAGTATAAAGGATGGGTTTTAACTACAGACCCAGTCTCTGCCAAGTGAGTATACATCCTACTTCCCTGAAATCATGACACCT